TAGAATGGAACATATATATGTATGTATTTTCTTCTACATTTATACATATTTAATATACCCATTACATATTGGGTACACATGTTGTAGAGGACGTGTTAACTTATTTTCACCTAAAAACTTATTTTCACTTGAAAATCTACATTTTTTAATGTATGAACACATACATACCAGGGGCTTTTGAGGAAAATTACATAACCATATTAGCTAACGAATTCATTGTACACACTCAGAAGTTTAAGTGCTAAATTGTTACAAGAACAACACAAAGCAACAATATAATGATGAAATTCTGCATAGAATGAGATAAAACTGGTGGTTTATCACTTCATTTACATCTGTGGATAAAAAGAATAACTATTAATAAAGAGATTAATACTAAGGTCACTAGAATGATAAAAAAAAACACTTAATTTCTTCATACTGAAATACAGGTAGGTTGTAATAAAAGGTAGAAAACGATCATTCAGTCTCAGTCCAAAAAGCTCTCACACACTCACAGGAAAAAAAAATAATATTCAGTGGTTTCACACTGTGAAAGACAAAAACTGCAAGGAGTGTTTTCAAAACCAAATCTACCTCAAAGAAAATCATTAACAGGATAAATAGATGACAGAATCTTAAAGTGAGTCTCCTTAACTTTGGGAGGGACTGGAAGTTTGAGGTGTTCTGTAACAGCACTGACCCACGTGAGGGATCGTTCACTGTTATAACATAATGCTCTACTGAACCCTGCAAAAAAGTTTCATTTACAGCCCTTCTTATCTCTGAATTCTTACATCCTAATACCAGCAATCCCAGACTATCAACTTGTAGTCTAGGGAGACATAAGACTGTACTAGAGTATTGCATGGTACCTTTTATCAGCAGATACAAGGCAGGAGGAGCAGCTTTACATATTTTTGCAAATTCTTTATAGTTAACATTAAATTAAAATTTAGTTATAACAAGTCAACATTTTTAACCAGTAAGTCACATACAACTTGAAGCTTACGATCAAACCGAAGTGGTTTACAAATTGATTTCTTATAAATACTGATGAATTTATTATTCCAGAGCAAAGTACTATGAGGACAAAATTCTGCCTAAAGATCATTTTCCAGAAAATCAACAATATATGTCAATTGACTGGGGGTGTTCAAACTTTTACAACTGTATATCATATTAAAAATGTCAATACCTTAAAGCGATACTCCAGTGTTTTTCACCTAATTTCTATCTGCTACATCTATGGCATATGGTAACTTACCATGGACAATGTTTTAGATGTGTTTCCCTGTACTAGTCATTTGAAACAGACTTTTCAGACTAGAAGGCATTAGTGGTTGCTGAATTCTGTCAGTAGAGGTTCATGTAAGGCATGTAGTTCTGTAGAATGCTGTAAATATTTCAGTCAAAAAGTAGTGTTCCCTAAAAGCTGTGAATCTGTATAATTCATGATATGGGATCCCTTTTTTAGAGGGAAGAATTTGTGCTAACATGTTGCCAGTGTTGTGGTGTGGTGGAGTTTTTACAGGCACTTGCCTCATTATGCATGGACAGTTTCTGTCATCCTAAAACCTGAACTGTTAAGAGTATATCAACTGTAGTTTCCAATGCATGTTATACAGTTATGTAAACTTGACGTTAAGCTTTTCCGAGGAAATGCAGTTTTTCTTGTCGGAAGCCCAAAATGACTTGTACATGGAGAAAAAGTTATTAAAAATTGCAAATGACTGCTGTATTGTTTATTAAAATGGTTCAAATAGCACTTAACAATTTATAAAGTGTTTGGAAGAATGAGAGAGAGAAAAAAAGAGGAGAAAACAAATCAGTCTTCCATTTCTTCCAGCTTTTATGACTTAGGAGAGAGAGCGACCCAGAGACAGAATTATTAGCCAACTCAATTTAGTTCATTTCTCCAGTTCATTTCTCAGTTTATTCCAACCATCGTGACTAAGCCTCAGCCAGTCTTATTATCTCTCTCTCACACAGACGCTTACTCTCTCCTCTCCCTCATTCACAGTATTTTCTGAGGTAAATCAGCTAACGCTACGTGACCAGCTAGAGTGTCTACATTCAGTAAAAGTCACCAAATTAAAGACACAAAAAATATATATCTTTCTACAGAACTAGTTCAAAGTCAGAGTTGAAAACACATTTGGGATGTTTAACTAAGTTGGACTTTGGACTAAAAGAGTGGTTTGAGTGATCCTATATCTTAATTATGTAATTAAGGTTGTATCTACCTTAATAATTTCACTACAGAAACTTTACCAAATGTTTCGGTAGTGATAGTTTTAGCTAATTTTAAGCGGAACTGAAAAATGCTAGCCAGTACATGACCAGCAAACACAGCTCTGAACAGTTGTACACACATAAAATCATAATATTTTTTATTAAAACACAAAAAATGTTTTAATTGCAGGAAGTATGCACTTTAGTAGTGACAATTCCTAATGTTCCATACTGATTTTCAGACTTTGGGACATATTTACTTCAAAGCAATAGGATCTAACTGCTCACTGTGTGGCCAAGAGGGACAGAGATCCAGTCTCACTCCTGACTCATGCAGGGGTGTGGTTTAAATTAGGCTCCACCAATGGACTAAACCTCTTTGTGTTTGGATAGTGACACGAAAAAGTGGGACAGTATTTATTGATTAAATTCTTTTTATTTATAAAAATTTCACTCATAATAAATTTTTTTAACTTCATTCAATCGAAAGATTATGTATGTCAAATGTTTATTCACAGAACTCAGCAAACGCCCATGGGCTTCTATTATAAACGTAATTTGAGTCGGTGGTTTTAAATTTATTCACTTAAGTGACAAAAACTGCTACATTTCTGGGCCAAGAGAACCTCTTTCATTTTCTCCAGCCTCTTCCACTTGGGAGAATGTATGCGGCAGCAGGGAAGCACAGAATGATCTTTAAAAAAGGATGCTGCTTTTTCTAATTTTAGATGTTTTTCCATTTGCAGCCGATGTAGCCACAATACTTTAATGGTCTGAAGACGTGAAAGTATTAGGGCTCATTCGAATACTTGAGTACTCACTCGTTATGCTGGTATTCAATCCATTATTAAGTATAGGAAAACTTCTTTTTTAAGCCATAAAAATAGGAGCCTAATATAAAAGTAATTATTAAGTCAGTCAGAGTGGTTTGATGTGAAATGCTCCATTCTAAAGAAACCAAGTTAGAACTGTTCACAGTGATGGTGACCGGAACCAGACAAATGAAGCACGTAAAGCCTCTAAAGCCTCTAAAAGCTACTTCACGGAAAGTTACTGCACAAAACGGTCACAAAAAAATGTGACAACTCTCAAATAAAAAAGAACATTACTTCATTTACAGGCTACTAGCAGTGCTCTGGAGGCGACCCTGACAGTCTGCAGTGACAGCAGAGGAGGGTAAAGTTCAGCAACCTCACTGCTGGGCTTTAGTTAAATTTAGGGCATCATCTTCAAAGAGGGGGGATGCAACAATCATTATCGCCCACCTCTAATTCTTCGGTGATATGAAGCTAAAGTCAGCTTCTTGTTAGAATTATCCCGTTCCACCTTAAATGGTGCAGCAGTTGTGACACCCGAAGCTCCAGAATGTAACTTTTTAAGCTACCATTTAAGGTGGAACGGGACATTGAGCTAGCTAACTACTGAGACCCCAGTGTACTACTAGCGTTTTTTATGCTTGTTATGAAGAAAATGACCATAATACATTAAAACAACATTACACTAAGATAAAAGAACAGTTATTGTTTTGTTTTTTTTTACAGAGAAAATACTCACACATTTGTGGGTTTATTTAGTCGCTCGCGCAGCCATCTTGCCATTTTTTCTTTTTTTTCTCATAACACTCCTTTTTGGAGTGTGCCTTTGAAAAACCTCCGTTTGAAGGATCATGTAGCCCTAACACATGGCCTACCCCTCTATTTGAACAAAAATCGGGACACCCTACCCCTAGACGTGAATGCGCAAAACGGACGGGTAAGGGCTAAGTGATAGTGGCAAGGGGTGAAAGGAGATTGGGCCATTGTGGTGCGAGTGGGGAAAGCCTTATTGTGGAGATCTGTGCAAGTGCAGTAGCTAGAACAACCTGAAAAAATCATGTTTTTGAGTATTATTGAGCCAAACGCTACTAACTATTTATGAGGCTTTTGTCAGATTTTATCAGTGATTTCAAATATGTTTTTTAAACGGTAATTTGACCTTCGGTTTTGAGTATTTTGGTCTTAGTCTGGTCTTGAGTGGCTCTTTCGTAAAAGCATGTCAGAATAAAAGTCCTTTTTGGTTGTGCCACGTGACATTTGAGGAAGTAAGAACTTGTGGACAAAAGTTTTCAGTGAGTACTTTTAATGTTGCCTTATTTTGCAAGATGGTTTTTATTTTAAAGTTTTCAAACGTAAAATCATGACAAACTGTTTTATTTAGAACTCTATAAAACTAAATTACCTTTTTTGATAGTTTATTCAATGAACATATATGCCTGGATGCTTGCACCACTTGACATTTTCAGACTTTTGGAGGCAAAAAGAAATTAAAATTAACTTTATATGGATGCACTGAAAATTGTTTCACATAAAAGAGGTTTTGCTGAATAATTATGTATATGTCGTGTATTTACTAAATTATTTTTCGGGAAAATAATAGACTTGGACACAAAAAATGTACACCATGTCAATGACCTATGTGCGTTCTTGACATTGCGACCTTTGGTTCCTATAACCCACCACTGTAAAGAAATCTGAGTTGGTAAATTTTACTAAGTACCATTTCACATCAAACCACTCTAAAGGAGTTTGTTTATATTTCAACCACTGAATTTTGAAGAAAACCAAAAACCTTGAAATTTCCCTTTAATGATCAGAAGATCATAAGCACTCGTCCAAAATGAGAAGCTAATTTTTAAATGGATCATGGGTAAGCTGAAGAGGGGAGCGCAGGGGAAGTGAGCAGGAGTTTCTTTCTTGTACAGGAACAGACGTTAACTCTTAAGGTTGCGGATCTGTGTAAAGACTCACCGTTGACGGTGAGGTGGACCCAGCTGCCGTTGTGGAAGGTGTCATACTGCTGCTCCAGCATGAGAACCCTGCACTCGTACCAGCCCTGGTCCTCCGAGCGCACCTGCTCGATCTGCAGAGATGCCTTGCCATGCAGGCTGGTCCTACCTGCAGGAGGAAAACACAAGTGGACAGCATTCTGTAAAGCATCTATATAACGAAGTCTACACAATATGGGCACAATATTAGTTTTCTGATTATATTGCTTTTCTGATTATATTGCTTATATAAGCTGATTGGTTGAGAAGCGTTCTAACCGTGCTGATATTTCACTGTTTTTTCACCAACACTGTATCACTCCGCTGAAACCCTGTTGCTAAGCAACGACTTTGGTAGCTGTAGGAGACGCTCAAGCCATCTGAACGTTTTTACTTCTTACTTTGCACAAACAGAAAATGGATACTTTTAACATCACATTTGACCGACAGCCGATTTGGTCAGACTCTGAAGTTGAGACTACACTAAATTCCCAAACTGTCATCACCACTGAGCAGCTTTTCAGTCGGCAGCTGTGACAGAAGAAAACCTAAACAACCTGTAATCAGCCAGAAATGAACCGAATACCATTTGCCAAACAAAATGGGCTGTAAGATGCTTTACAGACTGGCTGGAACAAAACAGCATCAATAATGACCTAGCAAAAAAAAAGAAAACACTGAGCTAAACTTGATATTGTGGCATTTTTATGGCTCAGTCCGTACTTCAAAAGGCGAGGCTTACAGCAGACTGTGCAGCAAGTGAGCGGAGTTCGTTACTCTGACGTAGCAACAAGCTGCTTGTTAAGGAACTATAATTTGGCGGAAGGAACTCCTAACATTAAAACATATTACATGCCACGTTCACAGCCCAATTTATTTATTTCATACTTTAACTGTTGTATAAAAGCTTTTTTAAATATTTAAGCAATAGAACACTCAAGGTTGTGTTATCGCTATAACATCACGACTGTGAATCACAGCCATGATGTTATTTCACAATAACACACTCCCTCTCGTGTTCTATTGCTTAAATATTAACAACTCACTGCTGAAACAAGAGTATGATGGTTAAGCTGCACTACAGAAGTTTCGGGGGTTTAGAGACCTCTCTGGAGGAAATGCACACAATTTGTGGAAGAATATTTTGTAGGATGGGTTGTGTTTCGGAACCCTTTCCCGAGCAGATGAACCTGATCATTGTGAGTGCAATGAAAGAGAATTCAAAGACAACTCTTGGTCAAGGATGTGTCTTCCGAGGATGTAAGTGAATGATCTACTACTGTCAAATAGCTTCATCAGGGGAACATTGATTTTGCATTTATGTCCTAAATATCAAGCTGGACCTTCTTCTTAAGAACATTCTGTTTTTTATTTTGTAATGTTCAACAATGACAACACAGTACAGTATTAGCTAATATAAGACAACTCCTTGTTTGGTTTCCTACACCCTTTCCCATGAAGACCCGTCCTTGTCTCTCAACTCCACTCACAGCAATATAATAAAACAGTGATAATAAGCATAAGTACAAATACAAATAGGAGATAGATAAAATAGAAAATAAAATTGGCAGAATATGCAAACTAACTATTGGACCTTCTTTTTGAGCCTGCGCATGTGACTTTAGTATGTAGAAATGTATGACATGGTCCAAAAAACTCCTCAAAAATCCGGCCTGATGCCTTGGACTTTTAAATGACAATTTCTGGCTTTACAGGATGAATCATAGAACATAATTTTTCTCCAGTAAGGTTACTTCCTAAATTTTAACATACAATCTTACACACTGCAGCTTTAAAGAACAGCCAGCACTATTTTGCTTAAAAAATGACTTTTGTTGGATTACATAAACACCTTATTTCATTAAAATGCCCATAGAAACACTCGTCTGGAATTGTGATTGGTCAAGATGCTCACGGTACCCAGTAAAAACACTGTGATTGGTTGGAAGGCATTCTGTGATCAGTACTGCAGGATAATGTGCCAATAATTACCAAAGAATATTCGTGACTCTCCTAAAGACTACTTCAGAACATTACTCATTCTTTTTATTATTATTAGAATTACTACTGTTATTATTATTACTATTAACATTATTATTATTAGGTGCTAATTGTTCTTAAATAATACAACAGGGTGTCCTAAGGCCACCACACACTGGATGCACCACATTGCATAGCAGACACAGTACAAAGTGCTACTATATTATATAGACTATGCTGCAGAAAGAGTGCAGATAAATGTCAATTTCAAGTTCCTTTTTACATGTTACTCCTATCAGTTCAATGAAATAAAACTTTCAGCATTACTTATCATGTTTGGCAGCAGTTTGCTAACCCTTCACCAACTCACTGTTTTATGTCACAAGCATTTAACCCTTTCAGACCCAAATTATGTTAGTGATGATCTTGTATTCTTATTCTAAAGACAGCTATAAATTATAATAAATCAAATGTAATAATTTTTTACAATTACTGTTGACTTCTGTTCTTTCTGATGACCATTACAATGCATGCTGGTTCTAAAAAGCAGCAACGTTCCAGTATTAGCATATAATAATTTTAAGAGTTATTGCAAGAAAACCTGAATGCAATCCAAATTTACTGATTTGTTCTGCATTTCAAGAATGCAGTTCATCACAAGGAATAAAGAGATGCTTTAAAAGATTAGATATTTAGTTACAGAGCTTTTGATACACATACGTTTCATAGATACTGTATATACATAAAAGTATTTAGATATAGATATGTTTGTAAACATTGTGTGTACATGCGTACATGCATGCATATGTGCTATTGTGCATGTATACTTTGTATTAATATCTGACATTTGTCATTTTTGGGAATTTGTAACACGGCAGTACAAAAATTATAGAGAAAAACTTATCATAAGTTAATTTTCACTTTGGGATGATTGACAATATTTTTCAGGACAATTCTGGGATGGTTCTGAAAAATGTTAGTCTAGAGCCCCGAAGGATTACTCACACACTAAATTATCTTAGGACAAAGACGCAACTGATTTTTAGATGTTCTTCTATCCTCTGCAATAATAACTACCTGGAATAGTCTGTGTCTCAAACATTGTGCTTACCCTGACGTAACCTGCCATACACTGCTAGCTGAAAAAAGTCTTGATGTCTTTTTGAATATGCTTATGAAAATAACATCACAACCAGCATACATATTATGAATTCATAATCAGTCAGGTGCATTTAGCCTTAATTGACATTCAAACCAGCAAACAGTGCAGTAACGTTCAATAGCAATCTAGTAGGGAGAAAAAAATCCATTTGGACTCCAGCATTTTCTCACTGACAGTCTTCTTGCGTTGCACACAAAGTGACTAGAAGCAGCACCGCAAGCTAGTATGAGGATCAATGTATAACATTACTTGGAAAGCAATCTTCCCTTGATTTCATCCCTCCCACGCTATCAAATGAGAAGTGTACTGTACTTGAAATAGAAAAAGAACGAGATGTCACAGCTTGCAGGAAGAATGTTACACTTTCTTTAGCTAAGAGGCTTAGCAGCACTCTCAGGAAAGGCAAGGAGCTTCACATGATTGCATAAATCAAGCATTGTGCTGTTCAATAGGCATATATGGACCAATGCATCAGTAAGGCATGCACCAGCGACCAAGCGAGATGCAATCTCTCATCTGCCTCCCAGAAGACTGTGGCTGGGATTAAATGATTGCAACAAAACTTCAGGGGCTGCTTTAGCCTGGCCTCCACACACTTCCATATTGACGCTGCAGCTAGCCTTCATGCTTCACAGTGCTGCTGTATCGAGCAGTAGATATCATAGGCCTGGGATCAGAGGCAGCACCTGAGAGAGGGAACTGTAGGTTTCCACAGCAGAAAATCAATATGCAATGGGGAAACTGAGGCTGCAGCCTTGCAGTAAAGGAAAAGGAAAAAAATAACAGCTTTGAAAAAATCACAACGAATTTTAATGGGGTGATAAAGTGCTGATGAGGAGAGGAAACGACACTGGGGTTATAGAGTGTCTCCACGCTCTCTTGGCAAATGAAAAAGATTATCTCAACCGCTACACAGGAGGCTCTTTCCTCATCACCACCACTATGGACTATGGATTACTCATAGTGATGGTCCAGTTTGATTCAGCTCAGCGAACCGATTCTTTCAAACTGTCTGTTTCAAAGAATTGAACATAGACGATTCATTGATTCACATTTCAAGTTCACTTTATCTCATCTCCTCTGCCTGCAAACATAACAGAAAGAAAGATCCAGCCAGTCTACAGAGCAAAAATATAAAAAATGTTCTTCTAAAAGCTGCACTACACTGCAAAATATTAAGTGAAAATATCTTAAATCTAGCCAATATATGGATCATTACACCAAAATGGTTCAACAACATAGTTGAAAACACATTTGGGACTTTTAACTGACTTGGACTTCAGACTAAAATCCTTTGCTTTGACTGACTCTGTACCTTAATTATGTTTATTTTATTAAATTAAATGACTGAACGTTCCATTTTATCACTACCAAAACAATAGTAACTAAATGCCAAATGTTTCAGTAGTGACAATTTTAGCTCATTCTGAGCAGAAACTCAAGATCACCAGCCAGTACATTACTAGCAAACACAGGTTTGAACAGTTGTACACACATAAAATCATAATATTTTTATTAAAACACAAAAAGTTTATTTAATTACAGGAAATATGTCTTTCAGTATTGGCAATTCTCAATGTTACATCCTGATTTTCAGACTTTGGGACACATTTACCTCACATCAATGAGATCTAAATTCTCACCATGTGGCCATAAGGGACAGAGATGCAGTCTCACTTTCTGCTTTAAAGTGCAGGGGTGTGGCTAAAATACGGCTCCGCCTATGACCTACAACTCTGTGTTTCGCTAGTGACGGGGACAGAATTTTTTGACTAAATGTTTTAAATGAATAAAGTTTTTATATCATTTTTAAAACTCTTTAAAAATCATTAAAAATACAAAAAACAAATATTATTTGAACAAGTTGAAATTTAGGGATTAGGGTTTGGGACAATCAATATTAAAAACTCTATAAATGATGATTGTGTATACATTTAGCTTATTACTATCTGAAAGCTTTGAGTTTAAACAGGTCATAAGATAATCTA